ACTTCAATATTTCAGAGTATATACCGACCGCGATGAGATCTATTATTGGCTGTGGAAAAATCTCTTCTGTTCAAGATGAGTAGTTTCTGTGGCCACGAGACAACCCTCTAAAAACTTTCCAAATGTTCGAACTAAATATTTCTTAATATTGATTCGTTTCACCTCCGTATTTTTATAATTCACCTAACTTTTGCATAAGTTAATTAAATTAGACCTTTCAAATGGGTGGCAGCCCTCTTCAAACGTATTTTCAAGCTAAAACCTTGTTAGCACTCCATCGTCTGACATTGCGATACATATTTTTTTAATTAACTGACTGAATTTGATTTTTTAAACATGTGGCAACTCCGCTAAATATAGTTCAGAAATAAATATTTTTCAAATCACCTTAGTAAATAATTTGAATTTAGCTTTTTAAACAGGTGGCTACCCTCTTTCAAAGCCTCAAAAATATGCTTGCTATTCAAGCAAAAGATTTCCTCCCATCTTTCTTCTGACATCCATATTGTGATATTTTAATATAAATTGTGTATAAGTTATATATATTGGTTGTAGAAATAATAAAAACGCCTTATTTTATTTCTTTTTATTTTATTTTATTTTTATAAAAGTCTAACTTATTTACTCAAAGTACGCGTAAACCAACATTCCTAATTATGCACTAATAACTATATGCAGCTATATGTATGCAGATATTCTTATAACTGACTGCTCTTGGCAATAGCTATTCAATGGTTTCTTTTAACAAGAAATTTACATAAATGAATTTTGCTTCATGAATGACTCAATAAAATAATTTACAGGCATTACGTTTTGTAAACAATTTTTACTCTACTACTACCAGCTAACCAGATGGATATTAAATTACATTAAATATTGCGCCCATTCATATTTACCAGTGCCAGCGAAAATTTGAAAACTCTGCTGATGTAAACTGAAATCGTATTGATAAATTGATTAATTGGCATTTGATGCGTTCGCTAATGAGAGTGTTTAGTTTGGAATTGCGTACATTTTGACCATTGCTGGGTCTTGACATCAATCATTGTAATTATGCATGCACATATGTACACATACATACATACATATGTACATACATGTCCTTTATTTATTATGTAAGCAAGGACAAATGGGAATTAATTTGCATTCACGTGTTTGTGCAAACAAATAATTAGCTAAGTATGTACATATATACATACATGAGCATGCGTTTATCAAAATGTGTGAATAGAGAGGTATTCAGGTGGGAGTAATTAGCGAGGTGTGTATCTTCATCTGCATAAATAGTGTCAGCAGGTAGATATATATGTATGTAAGCATCGCGTATATATTTACTGTTCACGCTGGAAAAGTAAATATTTGAAAATGGTAGATATACATACATACATATGTGTAGTTTTTATAATTTTTCCACGATTTGGGCCAGACAACCATTTTGGCTGATTATAATATTGGTTAGTGCGGGCATCTTAGACAGTTCATACTTATGTACAAATATACGTAACTGAAATATTAGTCAGCGCAGGTTTAAATATTGTTCGCTTCTGTTGGAAATTTGTGACATAAATTAGCTAGATTAAAATATTTGTATATTTGCGCCAAAATATATAAAATATTTTTCACTCATCCTAATTGAAAGTGGTTGGTCAGTTCTGATATAAATATTACTGAGACTTATTCAATTTAAGTAAGTTGATGAAGAATGTGATCGTAAAGAGCCTCTCATTTCCAGTTGGGAAAAGTGTCGGAAAAAAATATATAAATCTGCGGAAAAATTCCGAAATGTTAAGCAGAAAAAATTCGCGAAAAAATGCCCAAAATAATCAAGGAAAGTAAAACAACTTTCAGAAACTTGAAGAATCCAAAAATTACCGAATATTTTAAGAAAAGTCTCGAAGAAATGATAAAAGGTTATGAAATATTCACGAAAAGTAAGATCCGACAAATACCAAGAGAATCTTGAAGGGTCCCACAAAAAAAAAATCTCAGCAAATTTTTAAAAGTCTCGAAAAAATCGAAAATAAAACACCATAATCCTGAAAATTTGTGAAATGACCTTTAAAAGTCTAGAATGGGTGCAAAAAATAATTATTTAGTCCCAAAAATCGCGAAAATTTAAACACTAGAAAAACGAAAGGTCCACATAAATCCAAAAACAAAAAAAAACACTTGAGAGAAGCTTCTAGAAAGTTTCGGAAAATAAACTACAATGAGGTTCGTACTACCAGTCCGTAGGACTTGGGTTCGATCCCTGGTCTGATCGAAATCGAAACTGGGAAATACTTTTTCTCTAACAGCGGACGTTCCTGCAGGCAAAACTCCGAGTGTATTTCTGCCTTGAAAATTCTTTTCTTAAAACCATTTGCCGGTCATAGTCGACGTAAAATTGTAGCTTAGCCAAAAGCTTAGCAAAAATGTAGGCACCGAATTATTATTATTAAAAAGTAAAAAGCAATAATGATGGTTGCCATACTTAGAAGTGAACAGGGAACCTATAGTCCTCGCCTCTGGCTATAAGGATTATAAATTTGAGGCGCCACAAAGGAAACTTCCGCAGAAGGGCCTGCAATTTGAAGCTCTTATTACTACATAATTTAGTCAAGTTCGATTATACTTGCGCTTTTGTTATCGTTTTTAATTTTTTTATTCTGATGGGAAAACTCACCTCAAAATATCCCGTTGATATCTCTTAATTTCTATTAGCTACGAATTGGAAATTTATATGGAGACCGCTTGTAATAAATAAGGCAGATTAAATATAATATTTGTCGTTTGTTTAGAATTTTGAGTACTATTTACATATGTACATATCTACAGATATTGGAAATATGCCAAACAAATCAAGCAAGCACATAACTTATCATGCGAAAATTTCTCTTCGGGCCCTCCCCTTTTTTTTGTTTATAATTTTATTCTACTGTCTTGCGGTTACTTTGTAAATCCAATTTCATTTATATTTGAATACAAAACTAACAGCACACAAATTGCTTTGGCAACTAACTAAAAGCAAACGGCCTTTTGGGAAACATGTATTTATATTTGCTTTTACGCCAACTTATGTTTTTCTTTGAAAACTTTACTCAATCTCCCAAACGCTGATGCCGCTGCTCTTACAAGGACTTCATTTTGAGTTAACTGTATATTTGAATTCAAAATTTCATCGATTTATTATTGCCAAAGTTACTTTTTCAAGTATGGTTGGGGGGAGTACAAGCAATATAAGCTATGGTACTGCTGCATTATGTTGCTCTGTTTACTTTGTGTTTTATTTGACATACAAAATTATGCAACATTGACAATATTGCCAAAGTTTGCCGCCCACGTACAAACACCTGTGTACATTCACAATAACGTAAGATAATAAAAAACGAAATAGTCCTAACCTTACAGCAGATAATTCTTTATAGCAGTCGTTTTTTTTGTTGCTGTTCTTGTTGTTTTATGTATTTAGGTAAGCATGTCCAATAAAAAGTTTCAATAGCATTTTTATACGTAACGAAAACACTAGGCACGGGGACCACTGGGCGTATGCGTAACTTTTTGATGAGAGCGCGCCAAGGTAAGGTCATAGATTTAGTTTAAGATATTTTGAGATTTTTTACGAGCACCCCCAGGTGTAGTTGTAGACATATTGACAAGCGCAGCCACACACACATACATACATATGTATGCACCCACTACGCGTTGAGAGGCTGATATACATAGTTATTCATTGAATTGAAGAGAAGTGCATATAAAATATTTTGAGTGGGTGCTAAATTATCCCGATAAAAGCTAACTTTTCTATTATGTCATAATGAATTTTAAGTCTTTATTTGTTGTAAAAATAACAGTTATGAATAAAGACTGCGAAAATAGCTACTTCTATACCCGATTGGATCATAAAAAAGTACTCAGGGCCATATTTGAAGTCGTATGATTATTTTGCATCATCAAATTTATGCTCGTTTACAGCACTCAACTTTTTCAAATAATTGTATATGTATATATTTATTTAGTTTAAATTTTTAACTGTACTATTTTCTCAGTGTATGATTGCCTAAATATTTTCAATAAAGAAAGAAATGGACTGGTATGTAACTAAACACTATGATTGTTCGCAAAAAAAAAAGTGAAAAAGCAACGGCAGTTTTTATATATGGCAATTTTTAAAGGAAAAAATTCACAAAAGACCGGCGGCAAAAAATATTAAAAAATCAACAGGAATTTTTAGCTGCATATTGTTGATTACACTTAAATTCCATGGGCTATAAAACTGCCTATCCAAAATTGTGTTAAAAATTCAGAGTAAAAAGTTCGAAATTTAGATGAAAATTTTTGGAAATTTTCGAATTTTATATAGGTTGAATGTTTAATTTTTATGGGTTTATTTAAAGCGCAAACAATTTCATTCTACGAAAAAAAATGCAAAAAAAAATCTTCACTTGAAAAACGTCGTGAATATTAAGAAAATTATCAATCGGTTTTTGAGTCATTGTATTTTTCTAAAAAAAACTCCAGTTCAAGTTTTTTCAATTGAAGTTCGGTGGTTGCCTTTAGTTCCATCACTCGTTAGTATGATCTCAAATACCATGTCATAAGTTAAATAAAAAGTGCCTTAGTAAAAATTTTAATTTTTATTGAAAGAACTAAAAAAAAATAAACAAAGCTATTGTTTTTATTCAATTAACAAAAGAAAAAGTTATTGGTAGATATTTTCCGTGTTTGGTAGATTTTCTCAGGTGGATGGTAAGTATTTTATTTCCGGCAGTGGCAACCCTGCTCTTGAACACAAAGTACGAGTATGCACATATATATATATTTAATAAAAAAAGTGTGGAAATATATAAACTTGTATTCCCCTTTAAACGTCACCATCCAATAGCTGACAAACAATATAATCTCATCATTAGACGAATCAAAGGTCTACGCGCTCAAAGAATCTACATTTTCGTATCCCTCGTAGCTGCCTTCAAAGCTAATTAATTCAATGTTTGTGCGATGATTAGTTAGAAACTCACCTTTTTCATGAATGTCATTACATTGGTGGGCAACATTTTGACGACCTCTACTCGCTCTCCGCCAATGTTTGTGTGCAGGTTGAATGTGGATTTTAGATTTCAGATTCCTTTTTGGCGCACTTCACACGTTGCCAGCGATGAGGGTTTATTAACACTTTAATGCCCCAAAAGCGTCCAGTTCGTTGCAGCCAATTTACAAAAGGTTGAACAAAAACGCTGTTTTGTTTTTGTTTTTTTACGTTTTCGCTCTCCTTTTTTGTTTGGTTCCTCGATTTGAATACGCACGAATGCACAGATTTTTAATTATGACAATGCTGATGTGCGACTGTGCGAGGTAAAATAACAGTACATATTTGGAAAATTAAAAAATTTCATTCACTTCACTTTGTTATGAAAAATGAGGTCAGCTTCAATGCAAACACAATTGGTCAGCAAAAAAAAGAGTGCAGCACAAATGAAAGGTGTGGACATGGTTGGCGTAACAATACCACCACTCACACCAGTCCCGTAGGGTTGCATGCTGCCTGCCGGCCACTCACTTAACGGTGGCGAGGAGGTTAACGCGTTGAGTAACTGTATTTAATGGGTGTGAAAGTTCAGCTGCATGAGCTGTTGGTTCGGCACCGCTTCCTTCTGGTCTTTTTTTTTGGCGAATTTATTTATTTTATTTTTTTTTTCGTATGGCTGGAAATCCGCGAAATGCGCAACAGAAACACATACAAATTTTAGTTGCCGCTACTCAATCAGCTACTATCGTGGCTGAATTTTACTGCATTTTACCGTTCTCGAGCTGCAGCAACGAACAAAAACCCAGTCTTGCAGCTGCAATGCCGTATCCGCTTGGTCGTACTTCGGACCACCGAGTACCCGAAAAGCAGTGGGTGGTTTGCACCTTTGCTCTTAGCTCCAGTAAACTTCGTTGATTTCGTTCATACAAATAGTATTTACTGTTGCATTAACTGTACAAAGCTTTTATGTTTGTATGTACATTCTTCATTACAACTATTGTTGGCTGAGCTGCCTTTTGTATTATTTTAAAAAGCATACTTTTCCGCATTCAATTACTTTTAACAGTGAAATGTTTACAACATCATTTGAGTAGTTGCTTTACTGCTTCTAATACCGCTTGGCTGCTTTAATCACTCCACTCACTTCTGCGGTTCCTGCCTGCCTTTTTTTTTTGCCGCTGCCTTTTACTTTCACTTTTATCTTCTTTTCAAAGTCACTTTAATGTGCGATTGTTTTTTTTGTGTTTCTCAATTTGCACTTAAGTCCATTCAACATTTTCATTTCACTGTGTTTATGGTATTATGAAACTTTTCGTATAAAAAAAATTTCGCTGCTAAAATGTATGTTAAAGCGAAAGCTTACTGGTTTTTTTTAAGATCTTTTTGTACCAAAATAATGTTTTTCATCCGCTGGAATGTAGTTGGAATATTTTTCGTGCTGAAATAAAAGAGAAAAAGGAAAAAAAATTAGCTTCTTTGTTTTGCGTATAATTAAAGTTTCTATTTTAAGATGTGCTAATTTTAATGCATATTTTGGCTATGGTCCGCGCCTTTGTCTGCCTGAATAGTAGTAGTGCAAAAATATTTCAGAACTAAATAATGCAATTTTTTTCAAAGTCAGTTTTCTCACATATTTGTCACACCGAAAATATTAGCTCAAACACTTTTCCTTCCATGGTCTGGCCATAGGTTTTTATCACCTCAATCATCTTAATAATAAGGAATGCTTAAATGTTTCTACCCTATTTATATTTTTGCCACTGTATCTACAGCTTATGTTTTTCATATCCTTCAATTTTTTTTAGGTAATTAGTACTATTTTTTATAATTCCACTAAATCCAAGTGAGAATCATTTCATTAAAAAAAAATAAATTGTTATAAAAACCTTAAAAAAACTTGTTGACAAGAATAATGACTGCAACATAGCGAGAGTACCAGTTTGACATAATAAAACATAACCAAAGATCATAAAAAATAAGAATGCTGCCTATGTTTATGGCTTCCTTATATTCTATTTTCTTTGTGATAACGAACGTGCTGGTAAATTTGTCCCAAAAATTGTCTTTAGGCCAGAGTACAGGAATATTCATGCTAAATTAATAGACAAAACACAGAAAATCGAAATTTAAGCGGTACAAATATGAAAAATCGGGACACTTATACGTCCCGACTTTAAAAAAATATTCAGCGGGAAAATTCTCTCTCTATACCCAAGAGAAGAGCATATACGCAATAGATCTACTGGTTGCTGTGCTTACTCTACTTACATCTATCTATCTACTTAATCGTATTACCAGGGAACGGATTTCATGGAAATTGCCTTTTTTTTCTGTTAAAGAGATAGACTATATTCGATTAACAATGTCCACGATTTAGCTTTCCCTGATTCCATATATACACATTTAATGTTGCCGTTTTTTGCCTTTTTTTGCATTTTTTAAGATATTTGCCTTGTTTTTTGCCTTTTCTACCTTTAAAAAAGTGATTATAGCATTTACAATTTTTTTTTATGATTAAAAAATATACACATGCCCATGCGGCTTATAGAAGCGCAAATTGGTATTGGAAAAATTCACATCCGTTTTCTCAGCTAATGTAGGCTTGGAGACAATAAGGGTTGTGGATAAAATTGTAAAGGGCGAGGAAAATGCCCTTATTCCTGATAATATGAACGTTTCAAACGTTCCATATTTAAATTGGACTCCACTTGTATCAACTTACGTCGAGCGCACATTTAGTACATTCAAGGCTTTTCTTCGCGAAAATCTTAATCAAAATGCTGCCAGAAAACTTCAAAATGCATCTTGTGGTTCAATGTTACTACAACTATACAGATTAAAGTTTTATGAGTTAGAAACTCGAAAGGATAAAATAGTCAAAGATTCAAAGTACAAATTTTTCCTATAATGAAATTATGTAGTTCATAGTTTTTCTCTTTTTACTTGTAATATAAACATTTCTAAAATAAAAGTAATTTTTTTATTGGTGTTCGTATTTTCTGTCTTTTTTTAGTGCCTTATTTTGCAATACCTAGTGCCTTTTCCTGCATTCTTCGTTATTTTATTTTGCCTTTTTTTATAGGTTTTTAGGTCCTAAAAATCCGTCCCCTGCTTATTACACTAAACGAGCAATTCTTGTATATATACATATAGATATATCCATAGAGTTCTCGGAAACGGCTCTAATCATTTTGATGAAATTTTGTACACAGATAATGTTTTGGATTCTAAGGTCTGTAGGCATTATCTCCGAGAAGACTCGTATAAGGTTGTTACTTATTCGAAATTAATTACAATTTAATCAAAACATCATAATATGGGTATAAAATGGAAGGTATTTTAAAGATCCCTAATTCAAAATTTTTTTAAATAGGGTTGCCACCTATTTTTAATCGCATATTTATTTAATATTTTGTTTAGAAAAAAAGGTAAAATATTACTGTACATGGGTACCAAGAGCAGGTTTTTAAGCAATGCTTTCCCTACATACAAATTGTAATCTCTTAGGATAATAGTGTAAGGTTGCCACTTATTTTCGATTTTACACAATTTATCTAAAATATCGCAATATGGATATCAAATAAAAGGTGTTGTTGAGAAATAGTGGTCAGAAAATATTTTCCATCAGGGTTGCCACGCTTCTATATAATACAAATTTTTATTTTGTTAATTTCAATCAAAATTTTTTTTGCATACACAGTACATATACGCTCAATGTACCATTCATTCTAGCGTACATTGAGGAGTAGGGTTGCCACCTAAATTTTAGAGTAAGGAATTTACTTAGTAGATATCGTAATCCTATTTTTATTTTTTTTTTCTAAAATATTTTTTTTTTAAAGCTATCCAAATCTTGAAAACTTTAAAGAGTACATATATGCACTCCGGACAAAGCTCGGAAAACCTGGTACTTATAATTGTAATGCAGTTTTCATAGACAATTTTATTGATATTCACGTGATGAAAGCTTTCAATTTTGTAAAAGCGAATTAGATAGAAGGTATAAATTAGAGCGTAAAATTCATTTGGCAAGAAACCCCGATTTGTTGTATGGAGTGCGAGGCAATCTAATGTGTACAGCTATTTACTTAAAGCAAAATATATAGCAACATACTCCCACGTTAGCACTTACATTGAAATTTTTAAATAATTGCGTCTTTGATGTGAAGTGCAAATATTGAGGTTTCTCTGAATATTAAATATATTCCCATTGCACACACTCCATCATAAACGCATTTGCATATATGTACTCGTATTTATTTGTATACTCATGGCTGACAATCGTAAAATGACAAGCATATGAAAAGATAAATAAAGCCATGCCATGTGGTTAACAACCACAAATATGCTTATCACAAATCGATCTAGAAAACATGTTTTCTTTACATTATAAGCTGCCTTCTTGCTTGCTGACAGTAAGAAAATATACAGACATACGTTTTACATATCGCTGGTGCTCTGCATAAACGATACAACTCAAAAGCAAAAAAAAAGCAACAGACCAGCGCCTTCGTCTTGGTCTGCAGGCTGTATCGGAGACACAGCCGCTAAATTTGAACGTAGAATACGTGGTATGGTTAAGAGCATATCCAAGTTAAAAACGAAAGCACACACTAAGATAAAAATATCGATAACAAAAGCGATAATAATATCGATGGCAAAATCGATAACAAAATCGATAAAAATATCGACAACAAAATCGATAAAAATATCGATAACAAAATCGATAAAAATATCGATTATAAAATTGGTAAAAATATCGATACCAAATCGATAAAAATATCGGCAACAAAATCAATAACAATACCGATAACAGAATCGATTACAAAACCTATAAAAAATTGATTACAAAATCGATAACTAAATCGATTAAAATATCGATTACCAAAATCGATAAAGAAAAATCGTTTATTTTATCGATTAGTTCCGAAAATATCGATAGCAAAATCAATAACAATATCGATTAAAATTTCGATAACAAAATCGATAAAATATCGGCTGTTAAATCGATATGTCCCGAGAATTCCGAAAATCTCTACAATCCCCAAAGAGTCCCCAGATTGAGTCTCTATAAATCTCTATAAATACCTTTATTTTAATCTTTATTCCTCTATCTTCATCTTTACATTTATCGGTATCCTCATGCTCATATTTTTCCTTATATTTATCTTTGTGTTTACTTTTATGTTTATCATAATCTTCATCTACATATTCCTCTTCACCTTTTTTTTATTTGGAATTATATCTTTGAAAAGCCATACTTTTATTTCAAATCGCTTCATTGGTTCTCGTGCAATAAGCGTTTTCGTAAAGATCTAAAATTTACAACTACAACATTTCAGCATAGCCTCCATATCGAAACGTAAAACGTATTATATTCTATTATTATTACTAAATCTGTATGACTAAGTTTAGAGTTATGTCGTTATTGCAACCGCCCATGGATATATTGGTGTGTCTCCTTGCTTTTGGTTGCACTTAAATACATACATACATACATTTGTATAGGTACATAAATAAGCCCATATGTTCTTAGGGCTATATTTATGTGAGCGCAAATAAACCATTGTGCAAACCGCAAACATTCGAGCAGACTTAAGTTCGAATTGAAATTCATAGTTCAGCTAACACAGTCGAATTTAATGGCATCCTTATTTTTTCTTTGATTCGAATCTAACGCTTTACAGCTGCAGTTTATTTAAGCTTCTATACGCTTTACTCCTTCAAGTTTAGGGGGCAAAAGCAAATTTCTGCGAAGCGAAACAGGCAAGTAAGTGCGCATACAGCTGAAGACTGAACTGAAGCATTCAGCCGGTCAAATATCAGTTCAGTTGCTATTTGGGTCACTTCATTCACTGATAATTTCTCGAGAGATGCCATTGCGTTGGCGTGCATGTGAATACGCTTGAATCAAGATAGCTGGTTGAATTTCATGCATAAAAATATAATCTGTATATATTTATCTAAACACCAAGCACATATGTATGTACATACATGCATAAGTATATTTGTCTACACAAATTGGTCGACAAGCAAGCTTTAGAATCCAATGTAAACAGATAGCCAACAGCCTCTACAATGTGTTCTGTAACGCCTCCACACCAGTATACCACAGGGCGTATCTGCTCACACACACACACATCTGGGATGCAGATGTGTGTATGTGCGTGTGTGTGTGTGTGTGTGTGCTCATCCGGCACAAGTTGCCATCTTTTACGTCTCGCACACCAACGGCTGTCTTCTCAAGTGTGAATGCAAAGATTAAAGCGAATCGAATAAATTGAGTGCGTAAGTGAATGACTGACAGTCTAACCAAGGGATTGTCAGAGTTTGGGTGTGTGTGTGTGTGAATAAACGTTTCCTTTTGCCATACATACATAGAAATTTTCTCGGATGGACGATTGAAGGATGTGCGATTGCTACATTGATGTTGG